GCCATAGATTTGTATTTAGCCTTTCACACAGAAGGAACTCCAGCTTCGCGGATACATTGGACATGAAGAGAACAAGAGTAGATCCAAACCAAGAATAATTATAGTAAAGATGGTCAAAGTACACCCCTGGTCTGTTTTGCACCCTGTGGTCCCATTAGATTCCAACTTCAAAACAATGTTTTTCCTTGCTGTGATTCACCTTTTAAGTAGGTCACAGTGTTTAACACAAACATACACCATACTCATTTTTCAAAACCAATTTTCCAGCTATTTCTAATCCTTCTTACTACATTTTTGGTGTTCCATAAAGCCCCAGATGATTCCGGGGGTTGGAGGGGGTAGGGGACTGGCACTGAACCTACTGAAGTAGCAGGATTTATTAATACTAATGTTTTAATGATTTTTTTAAATATAGGATATTATTATAATATTGCCCATTCTTAATGGTTTTAATTTTTTTAAAAGTTTTAATATTGTTGTACGCTGCTCAGAGACCACTGGTAATGGTGCAGCTAAAAATCTTGTAAATAAATAAATAGGGGCAGGAACTTAGTTTGCGCCCTGGTGTCCTTTGCTTAAGATTCCTTCATCCCTGTCCCCACTAATGGTTCAAGGTTGAGAGTCATCATGCCCTCTGCTGTATCTAGTGGGTAGAATGGCCCACTTTTCAAGGCATGGGTGGGTGGATGCTATGCTTTCCACAGAGATGAAGTCTAAAAATCTGGAAACAAGGGGTCCTTGCTGTACAGGAAGGTGCAAGCAATCATCATTTCCATGTATGTTCTAAATGGTGAAGACATTTGTAAAAGTATTTGTGCCATTCATGAGGTGCCTTGGAAAAGCAACAAAGAAAAGTACTGTGTAAAATCTAAACTTCCACCTGTTAATATGTGAGGATATCCCTAGAGGATGTTGACAGAGCTGATGGAGTTTAGAAGGTTCTTTCTTTAAAAGAGGGAACTAATTATACCTAGGCAATGTGAGTTCCATAAGCTATTTGACTCATCTATTTCTCTGTCTGTGGCATCCTGGGCTCCCCTCTCCCTGTGTGACATTTCATACAAATAATGTTTGAGTGATGTGGTGAGCAATGCAAAAAACTATTTCAAATTTTTATACTGAAGAAGCGGCTGCCATGGAAGAAAGCCAAAAATCTCCCTAAGAGGAGGGGGGAAACCCCAAGGTTTATACAAGGACTGTATTCCTAAATTTCTTCATCTCTGGTGTGTCATTCTTCTCTACTCTATGTGTAGAGTGCCCTTTGTACTAATGTAATTGAATACAAGCTTCCTACATACTGTGCCATTCCTGGATCTTTTCATGAAAACAGCTCCCCTTGTTGTAACTGACAGGTGCAATTGACAGCTTGCATTTCTTCTGATTAAAGGGAGGACATGCTGAGCATCTACCTAAGATGAGAACAAAATTACTACCAGCAGAAGCAGGCATGAAGATGCAGTTGTGTTGTGGAGTAGTGGAGAAGTGAACAGAATCTCTCTCTCTCTCTCTCTCTCTTTTTTTTTAAAGGAAACTGCCTTCAGTGGCTGAGCAGGTAAGCTGCATGCAGAAGGTGCTAGGTTTCCTCCTTGACAGTCCCTGTTAAAAGAATAAGGTTTCAGGCAATGAAAAAAAACTTCTGCAGGAAAGTCATTCTGCTGAAGCAAACAGTAGTGGATTAGAGAGACAAACAATTGACCTTCAATACCACAGAGTTCTATAATATGAGATCTATTTTTTATTTTAAAAATGATGTACGGGAACTCCAAACTATATAGTTGACAGTTAAGTATGAAGCAAAGCACCCATTAACACCAATATGGCAAGATCATTGCTACAAATGTCCCTCCAGTTTATTCTGCAGTTGAACGTGTTCCTGCGCAGACCTTGAAACACATGGAAAAACACTTGCTTTCTAGATTTGTCTCTTATTTAACTCAATTTTCATTAGGGTATACCAAATTGATTTACAGCATTAATGTGGTCAACAACAACGTGGATAACATTGTGCACACAAAAGTTAAAAGAACTGACAGAAAGGGAATATATCAAAAGACTGCAGAAAATCTTAAAATCAAAATTAAATGGAGAACAGAAATCCAAGATAAGAACAGGAAAAAAAACCTTTCCTGCTCTTTTTTTAACCTTAGGTCATCTTAGGTTAAAAAAAATTCTCCCCCTAGTGATAGAGTACATATTAACCAGCTTTGCATTAGTTCCTATGGGAACTAATGCTTCAATGTACGAACGCACCTCTACATAATAAAAAAACAGCCAGAATGGATTAATTGGTTTTCACTCCATTCCTATGGGAAATTTTGCTTCAACTTAAGAATGTTTCAACTTAAGAACACCATTCCAAAACGGATTAAGTTCTTAAGTAGAGGTTCCACTGTATATCACAAGACTGCAGAAAATCTTAAAATCAAAATTAAATGGTGGAAATACAATCAAAGCCATAAACACATGGGCAGTTCCAGTAATTAGATAGCTAGCTGGAATAATAGATTGGACTCAAAACAAATTAGAAGAATTGTATTGAAAAACATGGAAACTAATGAACTTGCATCATACACTACATTCAAAAAATGATGTGAACAGATTATATTTACCACGTAAAATCAGAGGCCGTGGATTACTGTAAATACAGCAGGTAACAGAGGAGGGAAAAAGAAACCTAAATGATTATATCAGTACAACCAGAGAAAAATTACTTCAAAGTTAGTGCACTGGTCATTATGCAAAAATTATAACTTGCCAACCTCCGAAAACCCATGGGAACATCAGGTAGAGAAGGTGTCAGATAATGAGGAAGTCAAGACCCTGTGGGATTTCTGGATTCAAACTGATAGATACCTTGAATATGACACACCAGACATAGTAGTAATAGAACAAAGAAATGTCTGGATCATTGACATTGCAATTCCAGGGGATGCCACAGTTGAAAATAAAGAATTGGAAAAACTAAGAAAGTACAGAGACCTGGCAATTGAAACATCTGGCCTCTGGAAGAAAGACACTTCAGTGACTGCTGTAGTCATTGCGGCTTTGGGAACAAGATCAAGAAATTTCACATAAGCGGTTGCAGATGTCAGAAACCACACAACCAGAGCTACAAAAACCAGCAACATTAGGAACAGCATACATACTGTGCTGATATCCAAGAGAAACTTAGGTTTTTGGTTAAAACTTGTATCTGTTACATAAAACCAGTAGATGTTTTTGAATAATAATGCCTGGTATTTTTTTAAATAATGATAATAATGATAATAATGATAATGATAATGATAATAATAATGATGATAATAATAATAATAATAATAATAACAATAACAACAACAACAACAACAACAACAAAACAAAACAACAATAATAATAATAGAAGAAGAAGAAGAAGAAGAAGAAGAAGAAGAAGAAGAAGAAGAAGAAGAAGAAGAAGAAGAAGAAGAAGAAGCCATCAAATTACTCCTGATTTATGGCAGTCCTTTTCAGGGTTTTCCAGACAGAGAATATTCAGAAGTGGTTTGCCATTCCCTTCTCCTGGGGGGGGGCATCCTGGGACTATGCAGCTTGCCCAAGGCCACACAGGCTGGCTCTACACAGGAGGGCATTGTACTCCCAACCCCTGGCTCTGCAGCAGGATACCCAAATTACTGAAATAGAAGACAGAGCTTCTGTGCCTTGAGTGGTTAGAGCTCCCTTTTAAACAAGGCTATTAAATGTCTTCCTTTTCCACGTAGTGTCCCTATATGCCTCTCATCATCCACACCAGCCAAGCTGCTTGGGAAATGATGGGCAGCTGAGGTCCAGCACATCTGGTGAGTTGCAGGCCAGAGAATCAAAGGATCATAGAATAATGAAGCTGGAAGGGGCTTCTAAGGCGCTCAATGCAGGCTTTGGGGCAGTAACAACAGCCAAGTACTTTTCCCTCATGCCGAGGTTTCCTAGGGGTGTGTAGTTGGGCACTGGGGGTAGCAGAATACTGGGCTTCAGCTCTTGGTGGTCTGAAGAAGAATCCACTAGCAGGGTTCTGATTGGCCAGTTATTTCCTTAGTCCTTATCACCAAATTTTCTTCCAAATCATAGGGAATTAAACAACAACAACAACAACAACAAGTGTGGTGGACACCAGACAAGGAAGCTGGACTCCTTGTTCATTTAACAATTGTTCAAAATAATAAATGTGAGCAGCTACACCTGCTGAACTCTCATCTCTTGAACTTGTTGTTGGGGCAGTTGGCCCGCGCCGTCAAATCACTTATGGTAACCCTATGGAATAATGACCTCCAAAAGTTCCTATGGTTAGACAGACCTGCTCAAGTCTTGCCAACAAAAGGCTTTCTTTATGGAGTGCATCCACCTCATGCACCTTTTCCTTCTGCTTTCAGCTTTTCCTAGCATTATTGTCTGGTCATCTCATGATACGCCCAACGTTGGTCTAGTCATTTTCACTTACTAGAGACAGTTCAAGTTAGATTTCATCTATTTGCCTTTCTGACCCCCACCAAAACCTAGACCTGCTGAAATTCCCTCTTCTCCACAAGCTACAGCTGCAGACATTCCCTCTTTCATGCAACTGTTAAAAGTACAAGCGCCCCATCCTCCTCCTCCTCTCGTATCTCCCAAGGGAGGGGGGGAACCACCCCACAAGCCGACCCTTTCCCTCCATCCTCCTGAGCCCTGAGGAACGTCGCCTCGGGATTGGGTCGCGCTCCCCCTTCCCGCCCTCAGAGCGGGGCGGCTGTAGGGAGGCGAGTGACGCAATGCCTGCAATCCTGAAGGGGGAGAGCGCGCGCCCTCCAAAGGCGCAGCCGGGGCTCCTCGCACGTGGCCCCGCCCTTGCCGGCCAAGCTGAGGCGAGGAGGCGCGCTGGAGCCGCGCCGGCTGCCTATCAGCAGAGCTCTGCGCCGCGGTTCCAGCCTGCGCCGCTGCCTGCAGGTGACTTGAAAGTCGTTGGCGGGGAGGGAAGGACACCGCCGCCGCCGCCGCCGCCACCTCCTCCTCCCCCTGCAGTAGTAATAGTAGTAGTGCCGGCGGCAGCAGGAGCAGCAGCAGCACCAGAGGCAAGCCAAGCGCGCGCGAGAGCAGCACTTCCCCAGAGCCGGCTGGGCGCAGCCGGGTCTCGCGCCGCCTGCCCAGGACCCATTCGGCGCTGTCCCGGCTCTCCGTCGGCCGACTCGGCCGACCCCTTTTGCCCGTCCGGGCATGTCTGCGGCGCGGGGCTTCCCTTTAGCCAGAGACCTCGAGGGAGCGGGAAGGACCGGCAGCCTCAAGCGCCCGAGTAAGTCGCCTTCCAAAGTTCAGCCCTGGAGCTCGTTCCTCGGGAGCCGGAGCGGGAAAGGCGGCGGGAGGAAGGGGGGGGAGAGAAAGCGTGTGTGAGGGGCGAAGTCGGAGCACCAGCACTCAAGTCGGGTCTCTGCGCTTCCTCTCGCGGACTCCCGGGGATGCTGACTCAGCAGGAGCTGGAAAGCACTCGGGCCATGCCTGGCGGTCCTCTTGGTCGTCGCTCTCAGCTCCCGGGTGCCTTGCCTTAGAAACAGACCGGGGGCTGGTGGCGGAGGGGAAAACTGTATACAGTTTCATGATCCTCGGCATAAGTGGAGTCGTTGCCACCGCAGGCTGTGTAATTCTGGATTAACACGGGAGAAGCCGTATTAATACGCCCTTGGAGGGTGAATGGCGAGAGATTGGCAAGGCTTCGACTTCTATTTTCGCCGAGTCTGGAGCGAGGGGGAAGCCCTCGTGTCTCTAGAAAAAGAAACGCGCAGTAGAGTGACTAGAGGAGAGGATGGTTCGGATGGGGATGGGACCGTGGGTGTGGAAAGGATGTTGAGGTGGGGAAAGGGATCCCTCCAAACAGAGTTGAGGAGATCGAGGGATATATCTGCCGTTGCATAAGAGTAAATGGCATTCAACAGAGAGAAAAGGGCTTTTGTTGTTGTTTAGTCGTCTCCGACTCTTTCATGACCCCATGGACCAGAGCACGCCAGGCCCTCCTGTCATCCACTGCCTCCTGGAATTGGGTCAAATTCATGTTGGTCGCTTCCATGACACTGTCCAGCCATCTCATCCTTTGTCGTCCCCTTTTCCTCCTGCCTTCACACTTTCCCAACATCAAGGTCTTTTCCAGGGAGTTTTCTCTTCTCATGAGATGGCCAAAGTATTGGAGCCTCAGCTTCAGGATCTGTCCTTCAAGGGAGCACTCAGGCTTGATTCCCTTTAGAATTGATAGGTTTGTTCTCCTTGCAGTCCAGGGAACTCCCAAGAGTCTCCTCCAGCACCTCAATTCAAAAGCATCAATTCTTCTACAATTTGTTTTGTGTGGGTAGGGAAATATATACTGTATCCACAAATAGGGATGAAGGGTGTGTATAATTGCTCTTGTTTACACCACATCCTTCCCAATCCCTGTAATCAGTTTGGTGGGGATAGATAATCAGATGGCATGTCTGGTTGTCTGTGAAAGTGAGCTCTCATGCTCCGGGATGTAAGGTAATGGTTCTGCTGTGAGACAGCAAAGTTTCAAGGGCTGAATCCAAAAGACTGGAGAATGGATGGAGTTTAACATAATCAACACAGGAGACATTAGAAAGCAGCCTTTATTTTTGCCCCCCCCCTCCCTCAGCAAATCAATGTCTATTCCAGTGTCGATATACTCACAGCTTCCAGAAAGGTAGTCCTGTTAAATCGCTTAGCTCTTGCAGCAAATACAGTCCAGTGGGACTTTAAAGACTAACACGTTTACTTTAGATGGCCTGCAGAAATGCCTGATGTAATAAACGTTTTAGTTCTGATGGTGCTACAAGACTCTTTATAAGCATTCTTCATAGGGTGGTTAAATATCTGCCAGTCGAGTGTGGTGCTAACTTTGCTGCTTATTCCAGGATTAAATGGTATTTCTTCTGCTTTAGCTCTTGTCTGCCTTTCATGTCTGACTTTTCTCCTCTGCCTCTGCACCCATCTGTCATGTGTAAGGAGGATAATATGAGGATTGTGACCTTGAAGCATCTTTCTTGGAAAAAGGTATCAAGGTTTTTCATCCTTCTCCTGACCTGCAGTGTTTGCTTTTGTTGCATCCAGGCAAACTTGGGACTCCAGATTTCTTATATATTTTTTTCTGGTAGGAGACTCTTCATTGCTCATTTCTCACTAGGAATTATGCTCATGCCTTTGTGTGTGTGGCTTGTGTTGCTTTGAGCTGTGGGTTGCTGCTGCGTTGGCCAAACTTATTTCTGCTTGCTATAAACTCCCTTCCTTATGCTGTGTGCTGTTGGTGGCTGGCTGTGACTTTAAAGGTGGCTACTGCTGCTTGCCCCATGGATATGTGCTGAGCTCTGCAGAAGGACCTGCTAAAGCAGCAGTATGCATTGGCAGATAATTTTCTGGACTTGTTCCTTGTCTAATGCAGGGGAGCAGTTGCCTGAGCTATGGGAAATTATAACCTTTTGTTCAGGTCAACCATTTGGAAAGAAGAGGTGACTTAAATCCCTTGAAATTAATACTAATTTAAGTATCTCAGCTGACAAGTTGCTGGGAATGGAATTAGTTCAGTCACCCCATCCCCAATTGGGAGAGTGGTATATGAGGATATAATGAAAAAATAATATATATATATAATAAATATATATATTTAATTGGATTAATTTAAGAATGCCCAAATGACTTCTTGCCTATTGTTTTAGTCCCCCTTTAGCCCATTCTAAATACTTGATAGCTATCCTTGAGAGATGGGTTGCTTTTGAGTATCATTGTTGGAAGGTTCTGTAATCATAAATACTTTATTGTGCAATATTACCTTTTTATTGTAAGAGGCATGAAGCGCTACAATTGGCAGTTTCCCTTCTGTGCTAGAAGTGCCAGCACAATAGAGGATCATGTGTCCTCAGATAGAGCAAGGGAGAAAAGGCTGGTTTAGCTAAGAACATTTTTATGTAATTATCTGTTGCACAGTTACATAGCACTTTCTAGTATCTGGAGCTAAATAGTGGCTTATATCCAAGGATAACTCAATGTAGGAAGGTTCACATAAGGAAAGTTTCCTTGCTGCTCCATCGTGCCAGCACAATAGAGGATCATGTGTCCTCAGATAGAGCAAGGGAGAAAAGGCTGGTTTAGCTAAGAACATTTTTATGTAATTATCTGTTGCACAGTTACATAGCACTTTCTAGTATCTGGAGCTAAATAGTGGCTTATATCCAAGGATAACTCAATGTAGGAAGGTTCACATAAGGAAAGTTTCCTTGCTCCTCCATCTGTAACTACCTGCATCTGCTAAAAGAAGTTTAACTGGAGAGGTGGGTTGGTTGTCGTTTCCTAACATTGTGGGAGGTACCCTGTTTCTCTGAAAATAAGACCTAACCTGAAAATAAGCCCTAGTATGATTTTTCAGGATGCATGTAATATAGGCCCTACCCCCAAAATAAGCCCTAGTTAAGGGAAAGCCCGTCCTCCACCATTATGCAGCAACCAGAAGATGATGTGACTGTATTTGAATAAACATAGATTGTACATGAAAAAAAGCATCCCCTGAAAATAAGCCCTAATGCATTTTTTGGAGCAAAAATTAATATAAGACCCTGTATTATTTTTGGGGAAACAAGGTAGCTGCTCATGGAGGAGAGAATTAAACAAAATCAAACAGGTAGATGAGTTGAACGTTAGATAATTTATGGATGGGGGTGCTAAGAATAATGGAGGGACTAGATGGGGTAGTTTGAAATTATTTGGGTCATGTTTAAACAGCTGTTATCTTCAGTGCTATCTATTTTATGTTATCTTCAGTGCTATCTATTTTATCTTACATTTGCGTGATCCTTCAGTTCACATGGGAGAAATTTCTTCTCCCATGAGAAGGATCCGGACAGCACTTTGAATTGCTTCATCCCCCCCCCCCAAATTGATCATTGATGCCCCTTCTCCAGGCACTTTCCCCTACCTTTTGCCATGTCTGTCATTCCACAGGCCACAGTGATTTCCTTTCCCCTCCTTTATTTTAGTATGTGGCATAGCGCTACAGCAATACATCAGCCTAGCATGGATATTCGCATATCTGAAACAACATCGCATTACTTAGGAGAATAATTTTTTTTTAAATTGTGAGAAGAGAAAAAGAGAGATGAATGTTTCTCTGCTGTGCTTTCTATTGTGTCAGTTCACTGCATACATCACAGGGGTTGTCAGTCACCAAAGAGAACACTTCTATTTGTGAGTGAATTAAGCAACCACACAGCATGCAGGATGGGATAATCAGGAGTGCTCCCAATCACACCAAAGCTACTGCAGCCCTAGAGCTGTGGCAGAAAGGAGCAGAACAGCTCGCAAAAGAGGGGGGATAGATTGCTCTTACTTAAAACATATGCTTGCCAGAAAATAGGATGAATCAAACCACACCAGAAGTATTCTGAGTATTCGATGCCTAGAAAATCCTGGATAGTGTCACTACAAGTTGGAATTGACTTTATAGCATGTAATTATTATTTATGGAGGGAGAGTTGTTCAGGATGGTCTGCTGACCAGAGTTCACAAAGTAACTTTTCCAGGCACTGTTCCCAGCCCTCTAAAGATGCTTCTTAGCTAGTGACTTAGTGCATGCCAGATGTGGTGAGTCAACCAGCGATTTGCAGTTTTCCAGCAGCTGCATTGCACAGACCTATTTGTGTGTGTGTGTGTGTGTGTGTGAGAGAGAGAGAGAGAGAGAGAGAGAGAGAGAGAGAGAGAGAGAGAGAGAGAGAGAGAGAGAGAGAGAGAGAGAGAGAGAGAGAGAGAGAGAGAGAGAGAGAGAGAGAGAGAGAGAGAATAACTGGCATAACTCCCCTCAATAATATAATATTGCTGGGGGTTATATTAAGATGAGTGTGCTAATAAATCTGTTAGGAGTTCCCCGGACTCAGTTAAGGTTTCCAGATTTTCCAAACTGATGGAAAAAGAAAGGCAATTTAATCAGTGGATGTCTGGCATTCAGCTTTGTGCTAAGATTCCTTATCCAAGTTGGTGCCTTTTAACTGAGTTCTACAACTTTAGTTTTTCCTAGATAGTGATGGAAATTGTAGTTCAGCACATCTGGAAGCCATTGGCATTGGGAAGACTGTGATAAGTGGATATGGAAAAATAGTTTCTGAGCTCTATTAACTTGGGTCAGTTTGTCTACCTTTTATGCCTCTGAGCATGATAAGAATCTTCTATTCTTTTTAATTGGGGGGGAAAAGTTACCGGAAAGGGGCAACCTCCTAGAGCCCCAGTGGTTTAAGTCCACAGTCTAGGATGCTTTTCAAGAGTTTTCCC